CGTAGGCTGCGTGCAGGTCCCCCCAGGCCGCGCCAGGCCGGCCAGACCGGTGCCCGGGTGGGACACCAACTTGGTAAGTTGTTGCCTGGGTGTTTGCCTAGTTGTCACGAGGTGCCACGTGTCGCAATTTCACTGGAGGGCCAAACCTGCCCTCATCAGTTGCCCCCCACTCCCGAGCTGAGAGTAACTCAGCGAAGGGAGTAGATATCTTTTGGCCCGTAAGTCGACGAGCTAGTAAGTGTTGATCCAATTCCTTAGCCTTTGGGAGCTGCTTGTATGTGGCGAGCTGCCAGTAAGGTGAGGAGGTCTCTACCAGTTCAGTAGTGTAGCCCTTAGGCTCTAGGAGCAACTTATAGTTCACTTTTAATGATTTTGCTCATGCTGAGGAAGCGACTGGGTATTTAGCAATAGTGTGGCCCATAGGCTTTGGGAGTGACTCGTAGTCTACTCTTTTTTGACTTTGCCCGTGCCGGAGAGGCGATTGGGTCTTCAGCTGTAATGTGGCCTGTAGGTTTTGCCTGTGAGGTGCCGAACTAACCAGGCACTGAGCTACCAGTGAGGTGTCGAGCTACCTGCAAGGTGCTGAGTTGACCAGGTGCCGAGCTGACCAGGTGCTGAGCTACTTGTAAGGTGCCAAGTTGACCAGGTGTTGAGCTACTTGCAAGGTGCCGAGATGACCAGGTGCCGAACTACCTGTAAGGTGCCGAGCTGACCAGGTGCTGAGCTACCTGCAAGGTGCCAAGCTGACCAGGTGCCGAGCTACTTGTGAGGTGCCAAGCTGACCAGGTGTCGAGCTATGATTGCGCTGCATCAGCTTCGTAATGCCGGTCACCCACTCCTACAATAAGCTACTAGGAGCTCGACCTTCGAGGGCAGCACTACTAACTTTAGGTCGCCAGCTCACACGGGAGCGTTGGAAGGCTCGACCAGTAAGGAAGCCTATGTAGTCTGTTGGCCGCCAGCTCCCGCGGAAGCCACGAAGAGCTCATCTTTGTAGGGGGGACCTTGCGGAGAGGACTGATGAGGCTTTATCTGAATTGAAAGTAAGGTTGG